AATACGACTGTTCAAGTATGCCAAGGACTTTTTACGTTCAGTTGGATGTTCTGACGCGTCGAGCGATCACGCCTCCTCGAAAATTCCGAGACACGCTTCGCGATTAAATTCAGCGTTAATTGCTGAAAAATGAGCAGGCTGACAGTGCAGCGCTATTTACCTCTCCTGCATTCGCCCCCTACGTAGCCAAGTCAGCCCTTAGTCTTCGGTTAATCGGGTTAGATTAACTCGGTTAGCGTACGCTTGGTATGCCCTCATAGTTAGCGACTTGTTATCCTGAATCAGGCTTCTCGTCAGGAACGTTCACGCGCAGCTCGCTGCGTCATAGCGACGTCATTTGCGAGACACGAAGGGGGATTCTGCGAGAACGTGACTGCGTGGTGGCTTCGAAGTAAATACTTTTACCGTGAAATCCATCCGTCTGTCATCGCGCCGACCACCAAAGTGTGCTCGAATGTGTGAAACGGATTCTTGGTCGTCGTTGGTCGCGCGAACGACTCGCCGGCTTGTAAGAGCGAAACGAAGACGTTGTCTTTGCGGAGGGAGATATATCGTATCTCGTGAGTTCTCAACGGGGGCTCTCTCTCTCTCTCTCTCTCTCTCTCCTCTTAACGTAACGAACGGCCTCGAAGTACGTGGCGATACAGCGAAACTTTTCCGCCGCTCATTTATCGGTTCGAATCGCGGCATCGATTTTTAAATTGCGTAATAAATAAAATTAGCAGCGAGGGTGACTTCCGTGGTGGGCAAGAGGGGCCGTAATTGTAACTTCATCAGGGCAACTTCCCTCAACTTAATAAAGCTGTCTCAATTTTCGCCTCATTACCGAGACTCGCGCGAAAATTCTCTCGTTCCCCCGATTTTAAACGCGGGCCGCTGTACGCGCCCTGAAAATGCAATAGCAGCGGTTGTTACCTTTGTAAACAAACACCGCGCTCGTGGCGTGGTGTACCTCTTTTTCTGTTTTTCGATTTGCTTCCGCGTTAGCTTTCGCTCTTTTTATTTCGAGAGAGCGGGAGGCGTTTCATTATTTCACGAAAAATTACGACTGCGCTGCGTAATAGGGCCAGTACATCACGCAGCCTGCGAACACGCGAAAAAATACCATTGCTCGTCGAGATTTACGGGCTTCGCCAGCGTATGGGCGTAAATATTGATCGAAAAAAACAGAGAGAAAGAGAGAGAGAGAGAGAGAGAGAGAGAAGCGGAGAAATGCCCTAATTCCTAAACTCCGGAGAGAAGGGAACCGCGCTGAAAACACCCGATGAACGCTCGAAATTAATCCACGTAACACGAGCAAGCTCCGTGCCGTAATTAGCTGGTCATTACGACGGACCTTTCATCATTCCGACGTTACGTGACGTAACGCGAGCATACGGAACCGCTACGACATAGCGAAGGTGTGTTCGCGAAGGCGCATCGCGATAAAACAGCCTGCAACCTCCAGCTTGTGCAAACCGCGTCGTGAACGTCGTTGATTAACAGCTCGCCCGACACCGCTCGATTGTCACTCTCATCCGCGAAAGGAGCGAAGGGCAGCCGACGATGTGTGTGTGTACGTATGTATGTGTGTGCCTTGCACTGGACTTAAACACGCCGCGACGCGCGCGGAACGTCACGCATAATGTAACATGATTGCGCAGTGTTACGTTTGGACGTGCACCGTTATTAGCATGGCGATTGACAATACGCGCCCCGTCGACGACGCTCGGCGTCCGAGGCGAGGCGAGCCCGCGGTGGCACTCGTGCATCGCCGTGCTTCGCGATGCAGGTAGAGAGAGAGGGAGAGAGAGAGAGTAGCGAAGAGAAGGGCAGAATGGCGATAGCCGCTCTCGTGTAACTAATCAACCGCCTGTCGAGCCAAATCGTCCCCCGGTTGGATCTCTCTCGCGCGGCGCGGCGCGGACCCTCTGCAACAGGGAAATCCGGACCGGAGGAGGACCGACCGAGAGCGGCAGAGACCGGAGAAGCGAGACGGCGAAGAAGTTATGTATGAGCGTACGTGATACAACGGCTTTATTACGTGAGAGCTATGTGGCGGCTATGAATTTCTCGCTTCTCTTGCTCTCGTTCTCTCTCTCTCTCTCTCTCTCTCTCTCTCTCTCTCTCTCTCTCTCTCTCTCTCTGTCTGTCTCTTGCGCTTCCTTGCTCACTCGCTTTTGCTCTCTCGGATCTCGGAAACGCGAGGCGCGATAGTGAAAGAGCGCGCGAAGGAAAAAATAGAAGACGATGAAAATGAAAATAAGAGAATTGTGTCGTACAAAGTAATTATGGAGCTATGGAGGCCGTGTTAGAGAGAGAGAGAGAGAGAGAGAGAGGAAGAGGAAACGCTCGACTGCCGCGGACACCACGGCCGGGCGAAGGCGAAGAAGGCAACGGCGAGGGGCGGCCGCGGCGGTAGGGTCGGAGTTGATAAAGAAATAAAGAATCGTGAAAGTTCGCGTCGAACCCCGCGCTCTCCCATGGGGCCTTATGACTTAAAGTCTCCTTACTCCGTTAATTCCGAACATTAACAAAAGTCTCGCTAAAACTCGCCGCCAACTTTCCGCCAGACCCCCCGGGAGCGAGCCGGACTTGTTAATGAAAAAAATACAATAAAACTCTTTCACGAGACGAAACTCGTCGCGAATTCTCGGAGACCGGCCTGCGCTCGCGCTCTGCAAAGAGGACGGCGACTTATTCTTGCCGGCGTCGGCACGGACGTCGAACGGACGGTATAATTGGCGGCTGTATAATCGCGAGCCGTGCGATATCCCCGTTTCCTCATGAGCGGTCGCTCTTGCGAAATTTCGCCATTCTCGCCATTATCTCTCGCGCGGACTCGATGCGAAGGAATTTCGGCTCGATCGCGTCGCAAGTCGCGTCGAAGCGAAGAAAGAGATCGTTGAAGGAAAATTCGCTTCATTCGCCTTCATTCGCGAGTGACAGCAAAGACATGCGTTTTGTTCTTGCGAATTTTTTTTTTACTCTGATCCCGTTCCGATCTTTATGGATCGCTCCTGCGAATTTCGTCGGCGACCCGCGCCCTCTCCCGTTATCTCACTCTCTCCCAAGTGAGCTCCGATCGATCTGAAATCTCGCCGACGCGACTCGATGTGAAACAGAGTTTCGAGTCGCGTCGGAACGAGGAACGTTTAATCAAACGGCATTTCCACTCACGACTGACAAAGAAGACACGTGTTTCGTCTGGTGAATCTTTCTTCGGCGACGAAACGCTCGAAATTTCGCCTGTTCCGCCGCTTTCCCCATCCGATTTCCGCGAGTAGATTTTATTCTTTCCGAAGGGCGCCAGGCTTAATATCGAAGTGACGGTGTAAACCGCTTTATGCCGCCGCTTTATGCCGACCGACCCCTTCGTACCGCCGCGAACGAGACCTCTTACTTATTCATTTATTCCGGCGAGATGAACTTTACGGAGATTTTAATGGCGACTCCGCGCGACTTTCTTGATATCCGCGCATAGGCGGGCCTTCTGAATTTCGCTGCGGGCGAAATACGATGTACACGGCGTGAGAACGCATTACGTGATTTCACGTGCGTGTTTCGTTGCTCAGCGAGAACAGATTGGAGGCCGAATGCCTCGTGCGATTCGGGAAACTGATTACCCCGAGGAAAATCAGCTCGCGCTCTCCGCGAGAAGCTAAAGACGAGCGCCTCACGACTGACGTATGTGTTTAATTATCGGTTGCCTTGATTACACAAGATCTCGCAAGATACTCGACGGGCGGAGTAATCTCGACGGGTGAAGTATCTCGCGCTTGTTGATATAAAAATACCAACACCGCGCGACACCTTGTCTGACCTGATTTTCGGCATTTTTATTAATTTGCCTTCTAAACTCCCCAAGCCACATTTGCGTTACATTTGAAATACACACGACATGAAACAGATTCTGCATATGAAGTGTATGAATTGCATGTTGAAGGTTTAAATACATATCCGAGTTTAACCGACCGAAACGAGAAAAAACGTCCACAGTTGGGCAGACGTGCCGGCGGCGCGCGGTACCTTCTTCCTGACGGATAAAAGCAACCGGCCGGATCATCGGCGCGTTAAATATCGCCGGGAATAACCGATCGCGACACAGATTTTTATTTCACAGCACGGACAGCGAAGCGCGCAGAAAATTGCCCGGGATATCTCTCGATGTATAAAGATTTAACAAGAGATCTCGTTATTGCTATTTCATGGCGAGCGCCACGCCGCGATGCTCCGGCAATCTGCGGCTATAAATTATCGCCCACATCCTCCTGTCATCGTTCGGGATCCGCCGAATAAATGGTCCTTCGCGTCATTAATCGTGGATCACCAGCTGTTCATTTTTCATAATTCGTCGAATTGGCCGCTCGGAGATCCGGCCGGCGCTGGGACGCGCGAAAAACGCGACGGAAAAAGAATTCGACGATTAGCAACGCGTTAACGTCGCTCCCGTATTAACCGGTTACCTAGAGAGAGAGAGGGAGAGAGAGAGAGAGAGAGAGAGAGAGAGAGAAGAGGGAGGGAGAGAGGGAGAGAGAGCGCAAAACATGCTGTGTTGGCCGCTCGCGTTTCATACGAAACGAATGAAAATTAAAATACACAAATCATCTGGCCTGTATCGGTTTCATTGGAAAATCAACGAGATACGGCGGGCGGGGGGAGGGAGAGGGGGGCGGGCGAAAAGCGCGCTCGTGAATTTTTCACCGAGATTTCTTTGGCGTGCCGTATTTTTTGCCCGCCGCCCGTAAATTGCTCTTTGCAGACGCTCGTCTATTCTGTGCCAGCTCGCCTCGTTCACCGATCGAGATTCGATCCTTCTCCTCCGGGACGCGGAACGTGGCCGTGGTACACGAAGATAGACCTGGCCCAGGGGTGATGGCACACACCTAGTTTTGATTCACCTCATGGTGGCCTGCCGGTCACGGGGCTGACGGCGCGTAATTGTTCTCTTGTCTGCTTCTCGCACGGTCGACGTCCAATAGCCCCCTCCGCCTCCCCCGCCGATTGCCTCCGCGCCGAGAATGCATAAGCAGCCACCTTTAGCAATCCGCAATGCCGTAAGCCTTCGCCCGCTTACGTCGAAGGCAACCCCGTTTCTGGTAGCCGTGAAAAACGGAGACGAGGAGCGGCCGAGGACAGATGCGCTCGCAGCGACTTCCGCTCGAACACGTTCGCTCGCGTTTCACCGCGGGAGCGGTTACGAGTAAAATGAAATCAACGGCGTTCTCGAAAATTTCACCGGACTCTGCATTAACGGCGAGCCCGACGACGCGTCCCTGCGGCGCGCGCGCGCGACTCGCAATCTCCGGTCTCCGTTTCGCTTCCGTATTTAACACAGCATCGCTCTCCCCCCGTCTCTGGAGTGTTAGCCGTCCATAAAGTATGGACGTCGTGTGACACTGCTCAGGAACCGATGTGAGCGGCAGCCCGGGAAATTGACGAGAGCGCGCGCGACGTCTCTCTTTTCCCCAGGCCGGCCGGCTGGCTGGCGCGCGCGCGCGCGTCGTAATCGCGCGGCCGAAGCGCGTCCAATACCGTTTTAATGGGTTATTAATGACCGAATGGCAGAAATCCGTCGCGCGGCCGCGCACGTGGCCGCGGCGAGCGCTTTGCGATTCGCCGGACGGACGACAGCGCGGAATGTACACCGGCCAGGATTCGCGGCGAGGCGGCCGCGCGGCGGCGCTCGGTCGCATAATTTCCCGCGCTGGCAATCATACCGCGCGACGATAATTGGCACACGACCGACAATCGTCGTAATTTCGCGTTCCCGCTGCGCAAATTCTGACGTGTGACACGCGACGGATCGCGGCGCTCCTGGGAGGCACCTCATTCAATTAGCCACTCAGTTACTCGCATCACATCGCATTTACCCATCACGGCTTCCCGCTCGCTGAACTCGCTCTCTCCGACTCGACCCTCGCCGAATCCTCGTCCTGTGCCGTGGGGGCGGCTGCGGGCGGCCTCTCCTCGCGAATTCGTGATTTTAACTTTTCGGGAACGAGACGACGCGCGGCGCGCGCGCGCGAGGGTGCGCCAGACGGAGACGCACGTAGCCGTCGAGGATCTCACGAGGCTGTCACTGCCGGCGAAACGGCTTTAGTTCGCACGTCAGACCGTTCGCGGTCCTTGCCCCTCCTCCGCCCCCGTCTTCCTTCCTTTCGCGCGTCAGTCCGCGAAACTTCGTTAGTTTTCCTATCCGTGAGTCTCTTTCGCTCTCAGGTGTTTCATCGGCCGTTGAATCGGTCGGAGAACTACGGCGACGATCTGTCGTCGTGTCAAGGCTGAGTTTCACGATAGACGCCATGTGTGCCTTCGTGGACGAATTCTTTGCGGGCTATTAACTCGATTTGACGCTGTCCGTCGGCAGTTTACTGATCCTTCGGAAGGATCCTTGGAGACGTCGCGAGCGGAGATCGCCATCTTTGAAATAAACGCGATAGTTCAGGCAGATCAAGATCGCCTTCACAGCGACGATTTGCGTCTCGAAGTTGCGCTGTTGGAGGCCAGGTGTGTCTCTGTGGAGGTGCTCTTTGTAGTTTATTAATTAAATAATCGCGTATTCGTTGTCACAGTCGATTCTTCGAAGAAATAGAGACACGTTCAAAGCGTAAGCCGCCATTTCGCAGATAATCGCGATCGAGCGAGCAATTGTGCAAACGAGATTGCTTCTGAAGCAACGAGAAAATAACTCCGTCGGATTAACTAAATCTTTCATTGCCTGAAATAAACGATAGACGGAGAAATCAGTTGTAGGAACAGAAGAAAAGTTCTTGCGGTAGGGTTTGCGCTCAAGCCAACGGCTGTCATCTCGATCGAGAGTTTTAATACAGCTGCGAATGTTTAGCTGAAAAAAATATTCGTCTGGTCTTCATTCAATCACACTAATTGCTGACTTTGCTGCGTGCTACTAATTAGACAACTGGCGCGTTCGAAAGGACAGGAAACTGGCGCGCAAATCATAAACCGTCACCCAAACGAAGGGGTGGAGTAGAGAGTGAGAGAGCTGGTCGAGAGGTGTCGAGGTCCGTGGGCGCCTCGTTTTTCCCGCTTCGCGGAAAATCGGCTAGAGACCGGCTTAACGGCATTCTCGCAGGGTCGAAGAGCGAACGATCGCCGAAGCTATCGGCGAAGGTGGCGGAAGTCGCGCCGTGCAAGTTTCTGCGAATCCGTCCCGCCGCGGTTGCAAACTCGCCGAAGGGTCGAAACCGTCGGCGCTGTGAAATTACTCGACGGGTACCTCCCACGGGGCCGAACTTGTCCGCGACAATTTCAAACTTATTTTAACATTCATATAAGCCCTGCGCCCTCGCCCGTGCGCGCGCGCGCGCGGGCGGCCGCGCGCGCTCTCCTAGCCGTCGCCTACGCATCCCTTTCGCCGCGCGTAACCCGAGAACGTGAGAGTGAACGGGAGAGCGGGCGGCTCTCTTCCTGGATGGTAAGGACGCGCGAGCATAAGGGCGGCTTGGGATTTACATAAGATTATGCGTGCGCCTTCGTCTACCGCTCGCGCTCGGCGGGGGAGGGGGGGCTGCCGTGGAAATGGTGTCGCGGCGAAACAACGCTCCGGGGTGCGCTCGTCTCGCGCTGATAATTATAATAAAGCGGCGTTATATGACGGACGAGCGACGCGATAAGCGTCATTGTCGATTCCGCTCGTGCTGCGAGCGATCTGCCGTGTGATTTCTTCTCTCTCGCTCTCGCTCTCTCCTTTCCTCCCTTATCGATTACATAATGCGAATTTTGCTTTGAATTTGGAGCCGGAGAGCTCGGCGACGATGTTGTTTAAGGCGCGTATACAAGTCGGAGCAAGTTCGAACGCTTTGATTAAGGCATACGCTTCATTCGGGGATACCTTGATACGCGGAATGTGCTGGGAGCGATCTATTTACGCGAGAACAATATGATTCCGCGGAAGGAAACGGTGCGATTGCGTTTCTCCGATGCGCAACGTTGTACATAAGATTAGATGATTAGAGCTGATAGAGGAGTGGACTTTGTTATAAATATTCAACTTTCGCCTCTACTATTTTGTTTCTTCGTTCACGGCACGAGTGTTCGAAGAAGAGAAGTTTCATCGAATCATCCTCTTTCTGCATCGTCTCGTACATAGGATGTCCGGGATTTTTTGGAAATGAAAAATTGCGAAGTGATTAATCACAGATCAAACTGAAAAGAAAAGTCCAGTACCATTTTGCAAAACTCGCAATAGTTATTAAGTTATTAATGATCGAAAATGATCATATTGAGGAGCTTTTTTAATCGATAACTTGAAAATTTGCGTGTTTGCAAAACTGTTTGCAAAATGGTAAAGGACATTTTGTTCAGAATGACCTAATTATATGACGGCTATTGTGTCCAACGATAGATATGACTATATTGAACTTTTTAACCCTGAATCTTGAACCTGTCGCAGCTAGGCACAATAGCCGTCATATAATTGTGGATTACGTTATTCTATAACAAAAAATAAACGACGCGAATAATACGCAGGATTTTCAAGTTATCAATTAGGCCGATCAAAAGGGCCTGTAGATGTAGTTTATATTTTTAATTATTAATAACTTAATAACTACTGCGATTTCTGCAAAATGATTTCTTTTCATCTCAGTTTGATCTGATTAATCTTCACAATTTTTCGTTTCCAAAAGATCCCGGACATCCTGTATAAATCCGACAAATATTTTTCTCGTTCCATTCATCGTGTCGCTGTTTGATCTCTCCCTTTGGTGGGAGCACACTTTCCACGATCGAGAGTCTGTACTGATGCTCACGCTGATGAAGAAACTAACGTCGACCGGTCGGGAAATCGATAAACCGTGCGGATCTTTCGCCGCGCGTACAGAGCTGCGGATTCCCGCGTGTGAAAATCGATTCTTGCCGGAGAGATTCCGAAGGTATTTTATATTTCAATGAGCCGAGCGAGATATACGGCATCGCGCGCGCGCGAGCGCGCGGGGCCGTTTTCTTCCTCGCGGCGTTGTTAAATCTCACCCCCCGCGCCGTCGTCGCGTATTTTGTATTCATAGTCTGAGCGAAAATTGCTCCTAGAGCACAATAAAGCTTATACGAGCCATAAAGTAAGTTCAGCCTACCTTGCCGATGTTTATTTAAGCACGGCAAGACGCCGCGGGAAGATCCCTCCTCTTAACTCCATCTCCACATCTCCGCGTCCCTCGTCCTTGTATCTTGCTGCCGTACTAATCCGCCTCCCCGTCGCGTGCACCCGGTTCGAACTCGCCAGGTGAGAGGCTCCAACCGACCGTGGTTACGACGAGGACTGCCGTGTATCGACGGAGTCAGAGACTTCGTCGGCTCGGCGTCGAGGGCACTGGTTGGATTTCCGAATGAATCCGCACTCTCACGAAGAGCGCGGCAACTACGCGGCGCTCGGCTCGGTTAACAAGAAAGATCGCGTCTTTTCCGTCGCGGAGGCAGGTCTCAATTTTTTTTTATACTTTTTTTATTCCTTTTTTTATATTGGCTGGACACTCGCGTCTCGCGATCCTCGCGCCGCCGCCGCAAAGGGTGCGTTTGTTTCCACTTGGCCATAGCGACCGGCGACAAGCGAAAGTCGCAGCGTCGCGTCTCGCGGAGTAAAAAAAATGTCTCTCTAGAAATTATTTGTCGAAATTGCACGTGCTTGAGACACTCGGCCGTCGCGAGAACTCGGAGGATCTTCGTCACTTCTCTGCATCGCAGCGGGAAACAATATGCTACGAGCGGGAACCGCGGTCCTCTTGCGACGCGACGCTCCCCTCTTTGTATCGGCGCTTTCCGATAATCTGCACACGTCGCGAATTGTCTCGGGGAGAAGCAAGGCGAGCAGTGACTGCGGCGAAGCTGTGCCCGTAGCCGTAGTAGGTATCTCATGATATTACGCGGTAATGCTGCGGCTCTCTCAGTAATACTCCCAGCGCAAATCTCTTTACGCAGCGAGCGTAAGCCGGAGATGTAATAAAACCGAGGCGTGACATAATCGTGACGCGTGGAAAGCCGTGCTTGCGCGGAAATCCATGCGCTCGTATTATCCGTATTACGTGTATTTATTTGCACATAATATTATAATTCTTTCTACTCTCGGGTGGAGTTTGCTGTTTTGCTTTGAGTTTCGCTGCGGGCAGCTGCGCGGCGATGTGATCTAAAGCATCCGTACTGTGCGAGAAGGGAAACTTCATCGAGCGGTAAACTCGTAAACTCGACAACTATTTCTCTTCCTTTATATTTTCATCGCATTTTGCCTCTCCTCTCTTAAGGCCAATTGAAGTAGACTCTCTTTTTAAGAGCCGCTGTTGCATTGAGATTCGTTCCGTCACGTGGGGACAGGGCGTGGGATATCGTTAGTTTCCACGAAGCTGCGATTAGCATATATCTTTCCGCGGAAACTGCGCAGGGAAGACAAAAATAGCGCCCCCCCCCCTGAGTAAATCTATCTCAAGCGTTATCTGGCCGTAAAAAGTAACATAACGTCCGGCGAGAGAAACTTTCTTAGATAATCGCTCGCTCGATTCTCCCGACGAGTAAGAAACGATTTTAAGATACGGTTGCTCGCCTGGGATTCGTGATACTACATCACTCATTAAAAACTTTTCCTTCGCGTGGTTTTGCATACGGTTCAAGAGAGACGTCGATATACTATACTTTCGCGGCGTGACGTAACGCGCGACGTAGCGCGCGTTTTATCGGCGCCTGCGGCCGACGGAAAGCGGCCGGAGTTTTTCTGTGTAAAAGGACCATCTGAAGAATATGCAACGGCGATCGTTAAACGGCGCGGGCCATTAAACGTATGCGGCGATAATACATTTTTTCCAGTCCGTCGGATTCGCGAGATCGCTCCGCGCGATCAACGAAAGCGATCCGCGTTCGCGGCGGGCTCCCGCGGTATTCCTGTCGATTTATGATTTCCGACTTCTGTGTACAAACGCGCGCTAACGAACCACGCCGCGGCGCGGTGCATACCGATTAGTAAGCGCTCGCATTTGCTGATTAGCAGTTTTTCTTTTATTTTCCAATTAGCGCCGCGTGCGCTAACGTCATTATATGCTCTCCAACGTCGTTACGCCGGCGAGCGCCCCAGCTGAATCAGCTGGGGGAGGTCTCCTGACCGATGACGAAACGTCACGTCGCACGTAAAACGCGCTCTGCCGCAGATTCTGTGCGGATGCGGGGCGCTCGATGGCACGGAAATTTCGGAAGCCGTCTCGACGGCCGTCCACTTGCGGCAGAAAGGAATGAAGCCGCTGTTCTACGCCCCCGACGTCCAGATGTGCGGGGTGGTCGATCATCTTTCCAAAGAAATGGACAGGAGTGGCCACGGCAGAAACGCTCTCGTCGAGGCTGCCAGGCTGGCGAGATGCTGCGTGAAACCTCTGTGCGAGTGCGAGGCCTGCACACACGGCGCGCTTATCATACCTGGAGGCTTCGGCGTGGCGCGCACCTTGTACGTGTGCGAATGACAATGGAGTAACCGAGCGACGAGGAATACGAGGGAGCAACGCTCGACTCGACAAGACTCGAGTCGATGAAAAACCGCTTTTACTCATTGGATGGATATCTCACCGAATGAGAGGGTCTTTGAGAGTCTATACTGTTTTTAGGATTTTATACTACAATACGACGGCACGTTGTGTGTGAATTCGAGTTTCTCGTAAAGTCAAGTAACTTTGTTAGAATCATTATTACGATAATCCATCATGATGAAATGTATTTTGTTGCGATAAAGTACATTTCTTGTACTTGTGCACCTTATTATAATGAAGCTTACTTTATCAAAATGAATTATTATCACGGTTATTAGATTGCCCGATTTGTAAGGATTTTTTCAGAGCCCAAAGCCGATACTTTTTCTAATTGGTTAACTTGGTCAATGGATGTACCGATCGTTTTTTCCGATGACAGCTCATCGACAAAAATGAAGTTGTATCATATGGAATTACTGATTTGGAGTTTTTTTGTGTAAAAATTCTTACGAACTTGTTAAACAACATGATAGAATAACGTGCATATTTCTTGACTTTACGAGAAATCTTAATTCCGCACACAACGTGTGATCGTATTGCATGATAAGATCCATCGTCAGTTTTTGAAGATCCTCCATATTATTTTCACATGGTATTCTATTAGCGTATACTTTGAATGAAAGCTAATGAGAATACTAGCTATCGTATCTTTTATTGTATCCAAATTATTTGGATTGTTACCGGGACAATCTGTCCCCGTGTGAGGAGGACGGCAGAGAGTTTCTGTCGCGCGAAAGTCGCGAGTCGCACGACTATCCAGTTCCTGTATTTTTCAAAAGGAGCAACTTCGCCGCGAAGGGTGCGGACTGCACCGTGCTGCCCGACCTGGAGAAGCTTATCGAGGACTTCTACTGCGAGAAAAAGCCGATCGGCAGCATGTGCATAGCCAGCGCGGTTATCGCCAAAGTGCTGAGCGGCGTGAAAGTCACACTCGGCAAGGAATGTGAGTCGTCGACGATCACTCCGCGCGATAGTCCTTCCCGCGTGACATTTAAAAATCATCCCGCAGCGCCCAAAGAGGAATGGCCGCACGCTGAAGCCATCAAGAAGGTCCGGGATATGGGCGCCAGGCTGGAGATGAAGGACGTGAGAGGTGTGACGCGCTGCAAGAGGTACAATGTGTTCAGCACGCCCGCCTGGTTGTACACGTGCGCCACTTATTCGGAGATTCACGAGGGCATCGGCAAGATGATCGGGATGCTGAAGAAGTGCGTGAAGAAGCCGACGTGAACACGCGGATGTTCCCTCTGGATGTTCGCCTCTCGCGAGACGTGGCCTGTCACTTTGTATCGTCATTTATGACGTTTCTACTTTTATTACTCATCACGAGTGAATCAACGCTGAGAGGCGAGTGAAAGTCGACGCTGTTGTTGTTTGAGCGAGACTCGATACGAGCGACGGGAAAATTTGCCTTTTCAATTCACTTTATACACTGAATTTTTCTCCCCGCGTGTTGAATTTCGCACCAACAGCAGCGCTGGCTCTTGCTTGCTTGCCTCTGCGTTTTATCACCTCCATTGTTCTTTGGTACTGGAAGGTCTATTTGTTTCGTACGTTGTTTATTACTTGTACTTTTACGACGGACGAAGAGACCTTTGTCGCATGAGAATCGCACGCGATCCCAGGCGAGTTTTGCTTGAAGAAAAGTGTCGGGCACATTTTCAGCACGTCCTTCGGAGCATCGTGCGTCACTTACCTCGCGCTTGCGCGCTGGCTCGGGTTGGCTTCTCCATCGTGTTATTTCGAAAAATATATTTTATTCAATTTTTTTGTCCACACACACCGCGCCCCTTCGAAGCGCGCAGTGTGGGATGAACGGGGCGCGGGATGTGCATACATTTTTCAGACGGTTCGACGTGTAAAGCCTAATGATACAGTTCTGCGTTAAAATAATCAACAACAAGGCGAAACGACAGCGAGTCGAGATCAGCTGCGGCCAAGTAGGGATCGGGCCGCGATCGTCCCGCCGATTCGGAGTCGTTTCTTCTATTCGCTAGATAACGCGGCAAGCGATCGCCGCCGCGAATTTTACCGCCTCTTTTATACTTAATTCCGCGATGATCGCAAGTCTTCCGGGAGATGCTGCGGGCGGATACTTGATTACTCGATCACCCTAAGCGGCACTTGTGAATCCCGAGGCCGAGTCCGGCGACCTCGTTGAAACCGTAAGCACGGGTAGAAGCATCTTCGTAAAAATTAATAGCGAATACGACAGAAGAGAGAGAGAGAGAGAGAGAGAGAGAGAGAGAGAGAGAGAGAGAGGGGGAGAAGGAAGGAGAGGAAGGAGAGAAAAGAAAACGGACAGTCTTTATTGCAGCTCAAGTCAAGAGTGCGCGCGGATCTCCGCTCAAAGTGTTGGTCCAATCGCGAAATGAGTTCCGCGTGTCAACGTGATGATGTGTTGGTGCGATGCCGCAAACAAACGTCTCATCTCTGGTCCCTTGTAGCTTTAACTAAGACACTAAGGTAACACGTGTGAGAAGCGAATCGGCATAATTTATTTACAACGCGGCGCGCAACGCAAGTCTCTTCGCGAGTTTCGCCGTTTTCGCACGTCCCACGGTGGTCTCGCCTCTCGCCACGTTGGTCCGTGTCCAGGGTGGAGGGAGAGGAGGAGCACCTATCGGCGATGTGCGAAGTCGTGCTTACGCGCTTCGCACAATTGCAGGATAAAGGCGATCGCGCACAAACGAGCTTGAAGCAATAAGACGTAAGCAGTAAGCGAATCGACCGATCACGATCGAAACTTAAGGACGCCCTTTTGAAACTTACGAGAATAATTGATTGCAATTGGTCGGTTTCTTTATTGCTTGCGTCTTACTGCTTAAGTTCAGCTTGTGTGCGATGGCCTTTACGAGGCCGCGCGCACGTCTCTGCGCGCGCTCTGTCGTGGAATTTAGCCGTCGTTGAGCCGAACGCGCGCGCGCGCGAATGTCGCCGGTGCGTGAGAGTTGCCGATTCCAGAATCGCGGCTTACTCGAGCGTACGAGCGAGCGGGTGAATTCGATCAACGTAAAAGGCCTTCGCGAATAATCGCGTCGCCGGTTAGCTGCGCGAACGCCTCGCCGAATCAGGAACTCGCTGCTCCAGAAGGTGTCGGTGCGCGCACGGCCGGCGGGGCGCCGAGCCGTGTTGGGAAGGAGAGAAGAAAGAAAACGTTCCGGTTCGCTCGAGAAGGAGAGGAGGGAAGAGGGGAAGGAAAAAAGTCCCGCGGGATCCGCCGAGGTCTTCTCGCGCGGCGAAAGTTATCGGCTAACGTGGAAATTCGGTGGATCATCGGGGCCACCCTTTCTTCTCGGACCTCGTGGCGGTGATTGGCCGGCAAATAGGAACCGGGCCGGTGTTTTCTACTTTCTAACGCTCCAACTTCCGTGTCTCGTCTCGCGCGTGTAACCTTAACATCGGAACTACCGTAGTCATCCTGCGTCGCGGAGAGCCAATGGAGCCAATTCCAGTCGTAGAAACTGAAATCCTGCTCGCACGGTTCGCTACTTGCAGACTTCTCGCGAGGACTTCTCTCGAGCGGTAAAAAATGACCGATTTGTAATTTCTTTTAAAGGGATCAGTCAGGTTTGTACGAGGATTCTACTTTTAACGACACTCTGTAAAACTACGTCCCGTTTAATTCGTCGAGTGAGACTAAACGCCGAACAAAAAGAAACGGACAAACGTTTCCAGCCTCGTGTGACGTGAATCTTTCTTCTCAAGAGTCTGTCATCATTTTGACCGCTCCGGTGGAAACAGATCGGTAGTTCCAGTGTCAAGAGAGGCAGAGAGAAGGAGCGAAAGAGCCAGCCGCGATCGCGCTGTCGAAAGTGTGTAGAATATCGTCGCTCAGAGGGCGAAATGCGTCGGCACGGAAACTTTTGGCGCGGTGTTGGATTCAGAGCCGCCGCTCGAGCTCGTCCCCCTCCGCGTGGCGAGGGACCTCCAACATCAGAACATTATTCCAACGCAAGAATCGAATATCTCGTCTCTCCGCGACGTCCGAGTAGCGACCGAGTAGTAGTCGCCGGCTCTTTGGATTTTGACAAGAGTTCATACGCGCGTCCTCGACTCCGCGACCCTCTTCGCGAGCGTACGGACTCTTGCCGAGCACCCCCGGCCACCTCGCTCGTCCTCCTCCTCGCTCGCTCCCGCACGCTCGTAGTCGCGTATTTCGTCGGCACATCCTCCACCAATAAGACCGAGGCGACGGCGCTTTTCAGACTTTGGTTCCGATCTCTCGAGGCCAGATTCCGCGTTTTTCGGAGAAATCCCGAGGTTTGCGTCCGCGTCAACGTGCACTTCACCTTCGACGTTCTCGCCCACGGCCCCTCAGCTGAGGGCGAGCAACGGCTCGACGGACATGCGCGACCTCCTGGCCTTGTCCTCCTCGTATCGCTTCATCTTCATGAGCTTCCGCTTGCCCTTGCTCTGCTTCTTCCTCGGGGTCTCCTCTGTGCTGAACTCCTCCTCCTCCTCCTCCGCCGCCACGTTGGCCCGTTCCTCCTCCTCCTCCTCCTGCTCCTCCTGCTCCAACATCCTCAGGGTCTCGATGATGTTGCGGGGCTCGGTGACGCGGCCGTCGACGGCGGAGCTGCCGTTCTTGTTGGCGTACACCACCGACAGATGCGAGAAACTGGACTTGGGCGGCGCCGTGATGTCGGCGAAGTCGCGGAAGTTGGCGAAGAAGTCTCCGCCGCGGACCGGCTGCGGCTTCGGGTTCCTGTAGTACTGCGCACGCGCGCGTCCGTGGTAGTACGGGTTGTACAGGCTCTCGTCCACCGAGTACTCGTCGTTCTCCTTGTCCTCCGGGTAGTAAGTGCCGCCGCGGATCACCCCGAAGTTGCCGGAGCCCAACAGCGAGTGCTGGTCCTTCGCGCCGGCGTTCGTCGCCGCAGCCTGGTAGCTGCGGTCGCGCTGGAAGTAGCCGAGGAACCTGTTGGGTCGGTACCGCTGCTGCTGCTGCTCGCTCAACGGCAGCCGGTGGTTCGCGAACAGCTCCGCGAACGACGGGAAGAAGTTCTGGCTGTCGGTCTCCAGGCTGCCGGCCGTTCCGGCGCCGTCGGCGAACCGAGCGTTGTTCCGGGTGTTCCGCGCCTCTTGGTCCGCGCTGGCTTCCGTTTCCCCGCCGCTGGATGCTTTCTCGTCGCTGTTGCCCTTCGCTTCATCATTGTCCTTCCTCGTACCAGCGTCCGCGTCCGGCCGCGCCGTCGTCGTCGTCGTCGTCGTCGTCGTCGTCGTCGTCGTCGTCGCGGCCTCCGCCTCGTCCGGCTCCATGTACATGTCGGAGTCGTCGTACTCTTCGCCCACCTCCGACGCCGACGCCACGGAGTCCTGCAACATGGACCACGCGTTTCTCCGCAATTATACGGCTGGGGAAGCTGCCGGCGCTGCTCTTGGACAATAAACGCCGACGCGAGCGGGAGAAAGTCCCCGCCGGAGCGCGCGGAAAAATGTTTTACGAGTCGCGTCTCGCTGAAAGTCCGCTTCAGCTCCGCGGGACTTTCATCGCGGGCCCCCCCCCCCCAGGAGGTGCGGGGAGGATCGGCCGCGACGGGGGGAGAGGATCAGTATAACGAGCGCGCAACGCGCCGCTGCGCTTTAACGCCGGGAAATCGATCCGGAATGACTATCAATGATCGCTCGTAACGCGAATGTGACTGGGAATTAACTCCCCTCCGTCTCGCCCCCGTCCTCTGCCGCCCAACTCCTTCGCCCTCATCGTCCGGCTTACGTAAGCCTTTACGGTCTGTCATATTGTTGCTTCGAAGCGCCGTTTCTGCGAATGATACTTTCGTCCGGCCGCGGCGCGGCGCGGCGCCGTTCGATCCAATACGTTACGTGATAACCGTCGATTGCGCGTCGATTTAGCGGAACTCGGACGGGAGTCGCTGGAAAAGTCAGCTCCGTGCAATTCTCTCTCCGAGAGCCTGCGCCTTTTGCCCCGACCGGGAGATTCGCGGGAAATTGCGCTGCGTCGCGCGCGCCACCGGAAAACTTTCTACGGCCTTCTTCGCGGGAATCGCTCGGTGTCCACAATGTGCTGCCCCCCGTGCCGATCGGCGCCGGTTATTCGAGCCTTCGAGGGGGTTGGCGCGAGAGGGGAAGAGCGGGGAGTTCCTTTCGCGGAGTGCATCAGCAGCGTGCACTCGCTCGCTCGCTCGCTCGCTCAAGCAACCCCACCGTGTCCTCGCCTTGACATTTAAGGCATCTTCGTGCCGGCGACCGCCTGCGAGACTAGTTATTATCGGTATGTCGTACACGATCGGTGCACCGATCGCCCGTCTCCCCTCTCTCTCAATCACACACAGCACACACGCGCGCACTACCGTGTCGCGATCGAGCGCGGCTCGATTGTGACGACGCACATGTACGCGTGTCGGCGATCGTACGGGCGAAGCGCGTAGATGGCCGTCGGAGATCGGTTGCAACACGCCGGCGACACGCCTAGCATTGTTACGAATATGTCAGGCCACGGTGAGGCCGAATGTGAACGCGGTAAATTGCTCGGTGCTTGCTTTTACGACGTGAGCGCGCGACGCGCAGCTCGCTCCCGTGTTCGCGCGCCCGGCGGCGTCGCTGCAGATTTCGCGCGGAATCGCCAAGTCCAAGAGTTAAAATTACCGGACATTTCTCCTTTGGTGACAAACCCAAAGCGGACTAAACCGGACGGAAATAATAATCATAACGTTACATCAAATGCAAAATATGACAAGAATTTATTTACACTTTCCAAAGAATTTTATAAACAAGATTTGATTGAATAAAATAATAAACTATTACTTTTTTGATATATATATATATGGAATGATGGATCGGCAGATCATCTGCTAGATGGCTTTTCGTGGCGCTCGATCGTTTGTAGGCGCTTGAAACGGAGAAACGTTGCTAAAATCTGAACTCTCATTCCATTTTTGGTTGGATATAACTTAAAAACCGGACATATGACGTCCGGTTTGACTTGTTAACCGGACACTGGACGAGACTTCTGAAAACAGTTTGACACTCCGGGTCAAGACCAGGCAGAGTTGGCAACCCTATGTTGTGAGACGCGAGTCGCTGAGAATTCCTGCAAGGTGCAGGTGTCGCCTTCCACTTAGCGAGCGAGTAACCTCATGGTGAAAATTAATAAATTCATTCACGGAGCTGTTAATCAACGACATATGTATTGAATAATGCAAAGTGGATTTTGTCGGGAAATTCGAGCACTCTGCTTTCAACTGTCTCGTATCTTTTTTTTTAGTTCAGGGAGGGGTTTTTACTTATTTATAGTATTCGCTCGGGAATGGCGGAAGGAATCATTCGCTGTCAAAATCCTTGCTGTTACTGGCCTGTAACATTAATTCCGAGCGCTTGGATACCTGACAGTCCTGAGAGTCCTGATTCCGAAGCATCGCCGCGCGATGGGATTTCGCCGATTCGCGCGACATGGAGCTCGTAAACGTTGAGAATGAGACGCGTCGGCAAAAATGCTAATTCAATGGCGACAATCGATCGTTCTCAATAACAATGCTTACATTGTTCGCGCAGCGCGCACATTGCGCGATATCGACCGAGCAGAAGGTACGAGCCGCGAGATTTCGCAAGGAGGCGGCATATAAATCAGCAGCGCGCGCGAAAAATTCGCCGACAAACGACGACGATCGTGATCGGGGGGCCGTTCCGAATGTTACGCGAACGTGTAGACAATAAATTCTGCACACAGCGGCGAATGAGCATGACGGATGCCTCATCGCCGGCCGCAAATGAGAAATGAGCGATAGACGTTGCTTCGCTCACGCGAGATGGCGGAGTTTCGTTTCGATGCGTATCGCCGGGCGAAATAATGTGTCGCAGTTAATCACGCACCGTCATGTGCGTCCGTATGTGTGTGTGTGTGTGTGTATGTGTGTATGATTACCCGGCCGACCCGGACTAATGTTAATTAAACGGCTCGCTATCGTCCTTACCGGACAAATTGAAAAGCTACCTTTGCGACATCGCGCGTCATGCATCGCGCGGGAATTAAATTTCAAGCTCGAATTCGAACGTTCATTAATCCTTATTGGCACGTGACGCAATGATAATTAAACGCTCGCGGTAATAACGGCGCCGGCGCGGCCATCGGCGCGGAAATAAATCGCCAGCTACAGCGCGTGGTGTAATTGCGTTAATTGCGACGCGTGTTGACGGCGCGAGGTCTCCGCGAGTCACGCTGATGTCACGAGATGTATCCGTAAGACGCACATCAACTCGTCGGTCATCGGCGACGGGAAGTGCCGAGAGAGCGTCGCACCGCCGCGTAATTAGCAAAGAGTCAGCGCGCGCGGGGGAAAACGACGCGAGGTCTCGTCCGGAGCGCGTAATAAAAGAATGATGCTTCCCCTCCTACCCCTGCCGTCCCTCTGAATTTGGATTTCTTCACGATCGCCGATGTTTATCTCGGCGCGACAAAAAGGTCGACGATATCAATCGCGATTGTATCGCGTCGCGCGTTAGGTAACACCGTTGAAGAAGTGGACAAGTACCGCGTACACTCGAGACAAGTGTACCGTAATGCTAGCGATCCGGCGATAACAAGAAAGCGCGAGAGCACGAACGCCGGAGAGAGAGAGAGAGAGAGAGAGAGAGAGAGGCATTATAATCGTCGGACGATTACGGAACATAATTAGTTCCGCGGCTCGCGCACCTGATAGATAACCGGAGCGCGCAAGGTGCTTATAAATTCCAGAATTACACAGCGTTACCGATCAAATAGCTCACTCTCTTGACCGTAAAAAAAGCGCGCGCGGCGTAGCTGCCCGCTCGATTCCCCTCTCCCGCCTCGCATTTACCTTCTCCCCCTCGCCCTTCAATTCTCTCTCACTCCCTCTCTCTCTCTCTCTCTCTCTCTCTCACATATATTCAACGCTCTCATCTTAACGTTCGAGCAGACTGCCTCAGTCTACACGAGCGACTCGATATCCTCCGCAACGATCGGGATTGACAAAGAGATGGGATCGTAGGGCGAGAGGGAGGGGAGGAGAGGGCTGAAAGAAAGAAGGACACGCTATTATTACGCGATTATAAGACGCGAATTAGCTCTGCGCTGCGTTCTCGCACGGACGTAAAATGCACGCACGGCGAGAGCGCGAGAGAAGAGAGAGAGAGAGAGAGAGAGAGAGAGAGAGAGGGGCGGGCGATGGCGGGGTACCAGCACCTGAAGATTATTATATTAAGTCGGACGTCGGTGTGCATGCGCTATCCAATTAGCCGCATCGCCTCGTCTCCCCGTCGATCAGCATGAATTATACGTGAATTAGGTGCAATCAGCGGCCCGAGCAGCCGCGGGCCACACGATGGATGGTCCGTCGTTCGCGGAGCAGCGCGAATCATCGTGGGTTCTCCCTTCTCTCCTCCCTTCTCTCTCTCTCTCTCTCACCCTCGCAAGCATCATCGGCGAAACAAACGAGGCACGTATGCGCGCACACGCGTAAGTTGCGACGCGCGAAAGTACGGCGCGCCGCGGAGGTCCCGGGGCGAAATCAACGTTGTTCGGCCGACCGATCGATCGCGAGAGATATACAAGCTTGTAATTTTATAATCCGCGTTTCGATCATCTGTTACGCTCCGTCACATCTCGCTCCCTCGCCAAAGCGGCCACGGAGGAAGCGCTGCAACGCACCGGCTAACGGCGGAGAATTAATGCACGCGCTAGAAAGCGGCGCGGCTGGGCGGGCGCGCCGGAATCGCCGTCGTTAATTATCCCTCTTCTGTTGTTTCGCAAATAATTCAGCCGTGTTTACGAGCGCTCGCTCGCGCAGCCCACGTCGGGACTTTTTCCCGCGCGCGTCACCGTCGATTAGCACGTCACGTCGCCGTGATATCGCGGATTATTATTGACGATCGCACGTTAGCGCTGTCGCGGGCGTGATTTACAGCGCGCCGTCAATACGATCTCCACGCGTAGAATAATCGCACGCCTGATTTATTACGCTTCATCCATGAGCGGTCAGGACACGGCGCGGTGGCCACGTCAGTGGGATGTCGGAGCAGGAGACTGTATTTGCATTTATTATGACAATAAGTGCAGCCGCGGCTTATCGGTCGGCGAAATTACAAGTTAGGCGCGCGACGGTCAAGAGCGGGCGGACGCGAGCGTACAGGTTGCGTGAAAAGTTCGCGGAGCGGCATTTATAAGTAAACGGTAGAATTATAAATTGTAGTCGGTTATGTAGAATCACTCTTCACACTGAACCTAGGTTAGGTTTCATTTTCATCTGTCAATTCTTTCTGCGTTTACAAGCCAATTGAAGTTGACGTGTCAGTATATTTGTTTGCAATGGAAAATTTGAACCAGCGTGCAGTGATTGAGTTCTTTGTTAAAAAAGGTTTAAAGGCAATGGGAATTCATTCCGAGATGGTAAATGTGTGTTAGGGGAATCTGCTCCTTCAAAAACAATGGTTTGTAAATGGGCACTTGAGTTTCAACGTTGTCGTACAAGTATTGAAGATGATCCACGCAGTGGGCGTCCAAAAAGCGCATCAACACCAGAAATCATTGAGCAAATACATGTTATTGTTTCTGAAGATCCGAGTGTGAGTACGCGTGAAATTGCTCATACCACAGGCATTTCGGATGAACGGGTACGGCATATTTTGCATAAAGAATTACAAATGAAAAAGGTGTTTGGAAAAGTGGCGCCGCATACGTGAACAATTCAACAAAAACTCGCTCGACAGCAAATTTCTCAGCGTCATTTGGATCGTTTTAAGAAGAATAAAACCGATTTTGTGCATCGTTTTATAACTATGGATGAGACTTGGATCTATCACCATGATCCTAAATTGAAACAGGAAACGTTCACAGTGGACTGAAGCTGGATGTTCAGCTCCAAAGCAAACGGAGCACGAAAGATCGGCAGAAAAGGTTTTGGCATCAGTTTTTTGGGATGCTAAAGGGATTTTGTTAATTGACTATCTGGAAAAAGGTAAAACAATTAATTCTGAATATTATTGTAATCTTTTGGATCAATTGGACGCAAAAATTCGTGAGAAAAGACCTGGTTTGCAGCACAAACAAATCATTTTTCACCGAGACAACGCACCTGCTCACACAAGTGTTTTGTCAATATCTAAATTCAATGAATTGAAGTACAAATTGCTTGATCATTCACCGTATTCGCCAAATTTGGCACCCAGCGACTTCCATCTGTTCCGAAACCTGAAACAATTCCTCCGTGGCAAGAATTTTTTGTCGAATGAAGAAGCTATAGCAGCCGCAGAGGCATATTTCGCAGACCTTCCAGAAACACACTTACGCGATGGAATAAAATTATTGGAGAGCCGTTGGGCCAAGTGTACCCAAAGTTAATGGAGACTATATTGAAGAATAAAATCATTTTTAGAATTTTATATTCTTTATTTCGGTTTCGCTCCGCGAACTTTTCATGCGACCTGTACAGTCGCACCTAGTGATGGGCAAATATCGATCGATGAAACAAGCATCGATTCTTATCTTCTTGAAAAGTCGATTATCAGACCGATATTTTTGGGGCCGATTATTTTTTTCGTCGAGTATATTGCTAGATTTGTTGCTAAATTCTTATCCCTAGGGAATTTGTTTACTATTATTAAGGCCCGTCTACAATAGCTGCAAAAATAAAGTTGTAATAGTAAACAGTAAAAAATAAACCAACAACAGTCGACTGTGATAAGAACAACCGACTTTAATTGATTTATTTCTCGTAGCTTACGCTTATAGCCTTATTCTTATATAAGCTTATGCTTGCAGCCATTGTAAAAGAGTCCTTAAGGTTTTAATAATATATTAATTTATTGTTGCAACTCTTCACATTAATTTAAAATAAACTAGGAAAACATCGATTATTATCGATATTTTTAAGAAAATATCGATTATGCGAAAACGATTTTTTTGATAATCGATTAAATCGAAGACGGTGCTTTTTTTTGACGAAGCCTATCCCTAGTCGCACCCCTTGGGCGTCCGAGCAGAACATCGTTCCACGGCCGTATTAAAACCCAGTCCGGTTCCCAAATTTCAAATAGGGCCCGGATAACTTTATCGGATCCGGCACGTACGTAATAAGGAGTGAAACGTACTGCTGCATAATGCCCTGATAAAATTGCCTGAAATCGAGAAACCTGATCAAATGTCCATCAGGACCAAATCAGGCATCCAGATAATGATGTCATCGCTGCTTAGAGTATAATCTGGAAAATATTGTAAGACAATTGCCACATTTCGACCGGATAAGGACCACTCATAATGCCTTCTTACGGCTTGCCTAGTCATGCCATATCAGGCGTAAAAAATTGCGATATTTGATTTCTGCTCGGGCGTCTGCAATTTCCACGCCTCTTATTGACGCGTATAATTGGGGAGTGAAACCTCTCCGACGCTCTCGTCACACTCATATATTCTCTACCGTGGAAAGCGGTCGGCTTTCTCTCTCTTTCTGGTCGACAAATTTGTCAGCTAGCAAAAACCTTCGGAAATCTCTTACTCGCAATCCAACGCGGAATCCGCTTTGTTTCGATTTGTATTTCGCTCTGTGCGAATGAGATCTCGATGAAACCTCGTCCCGACTTGACTGGCCTTAGGCGAAGGGGGGGGGGGACCAAACGACCTCACGCGTGTGCCGCGACTTCCGACCTGAATCAGGCTTCAGGTATCTCGGTCGTTCTGTCGTGCCACGAGAGGCGACCGAGCGAGATATAACTTCGCTCTCCTCTCTGTCGCACTTATTACGCCTCGAAAATTCTCACCTCGTGCACGACCGCGTCCTCGGGAACCGGCGTCTCATCTGAAACAAAGAACAGGTCGCTCGTGAGAAAGGTTGCTTCGGTCGCGCCGATAGGCGTGTAAACGACGCGTATGCAACGCGCTTAAGTAACGCGAGTATCGATATTTACGAGCGAGTCGGTGCGGGCGCAACGCGGGCCAAGAGCGTGCGGATGTTTTTAACAGGCGCACGCATCCGGGATGGGAAACTCCGGCGACTTCGATAGTCGATATCGGGTCGACCGGTCCGAGATACGGTCGACGCGGCGCATTAATGACTGCCGTCGACCGTTGCGTGTAGCTCATCGAACCGGTCGCATGCATCATGCGCTGCTGATGCCGCTGGGAATCGCGATTCTCAAGGAACCGGCTTGTTGAACACACAACTCGAGTGACTCCGTGACTCATGCTTTTTTCTCTTTGTTATTTTAATCGCGGAGTTTTGCGCGCGATTGAGAGCGAATGGCGGGCTTCAAAAGCAAAGATAGAGGCGGTTGTTCGAAAATTACACCAGAATAGAGATGTGCGAACTATTCGAATTCGAATCGAATCGAATCGAATCGAATTGCATTAGATTCGATTCGATTCGAATCCGAATCCCTATGATTCGAATCCGAATAATTCGAATAGGAATACGTTACCGTTTGGCTGCATCAGCTACAAAACGGGCCATCTGAGCCTGTATGTTTGAACCTTTGATTTGTAATTAACTTATCTTATAATTAATAACTCAATTATAAATTACTTTAAATATTTAAATATATATTTTACTTTAAGATGATATTACAATATCAGTATTCCTTTTCGTATTAAAATCTTCCATCATTATTTGCATGTTTAATAATCATGTTAAATTTTTTATAAATTTTTAAAATTTTGATTCGATTCGAATTCGAGTGAAATTTCATAGATTCGATTCGGTTCGAATTCGAATTTAAAAAATGAGATGAGATTTGATTCGATTCGATTCGACATAAAAATTCTTGATTCGCACATCTCTACACCAGAGAAGTTTTTTAGTGCGTTTTATCGTATTTAGCGGGAAATCGGATCACGTATATACATAGAGAGACTCTTCTGCAAACTTTTCGTACATTTTAAGCTTGTAAATTCAGGCGTGAAGGTACAGCAAATGTTGCTCGGAATTTTCCACGTTTTCGTTACGCTGCAGGTCTTTGCGCAAATCGCGACATGAACTCTCACAGCTGTATGACGAGACGTCAATTTCAAAATTTATCGACGTCTCCGTCACGTGTCGAGCGGACGCTGCAATCATGCATTTCTGCACGCATTTTTGTCATATAAAAGCGTTTGTGATTCTGTGCCACCGATATACCCACGTAAACTCGGCAGCAAACAGTAATCTGTATTCCGTCGGTGAAGTTTCCAAGTATGGCGACCCCTTAAAATTTCCTCTTTCGCTCCTCACCGGATAAGCCGAGCCGCGAACGAGACACCGAATTACGATCCGGCGCTCGCGAGTTAGTCCTCGCCGTTGAAAGGCGGACTATGCTTGCTCCAAACGCGGAATGCGAATGAACCATTCCGTCCGAGGCTCCCTTGTTATCCTCGAGACAAATTCGATCGCATCCGTCGCCTCTTTACGGCCGCTCGTTTAAACGCTGAATTACACCTACGCGTCATTCGCAAAAAAGACCGTCGGTCGTGCGCGCAGCAAGTGGCACTCGCGAAAACGCGTTACCGGATGGCGCGATGACGAAAGGGGCGGGAGAGAGGAGGGGGCGGGGAGAAATAATTGCGCGTTGTTCCCGAGGCCGTTATTAATTAGCCCGCGGACATCGGACTTCCTTAATTAGTTCGAAGCTCACCGACGGCCGGCGATCTTGCCGGGTTTCTTTCATCCTCGGGACCGGAGAGAGAAAGTCAATTACGTCGATGACAAGCCGCGGACGCTCGCTGAGCCGCGGAGGTAAGTAAGTTCAGTGCGTCTCCAGAGATCCTTGTGCGCCGCCGCCGGTGTGTGCGTGTGTATAAAGTTAAGACCCTGGTGTTCCCTCCGCTCCGTTTGTTAACCGGTGCCCGAGACACGCACACGCACGCACGCGAACGCTCCCGACAACATTCCCGTCCTTTTTCTTTCCACATTTGTTTATCGCTCGCCACGAAGCTCGGCTGCTCGCGGGACAGTTGGCGTTGCAAAGCGAATTGAATCAGTGTGATCGTTTTTAACGAGATATACGAGGGTAGTCCCAGAAGTACCTGACCTAACGAAGAAAACATAAAAAATTTGGGAAAAAATATCTTGATTTCTCTACGTAGTCTCCTCATAGCTCAATACACTTTTTCCCAGCGGTGTTCAATAGCTGCGATACCCCTGTTTATAGTCGGGAATCGTCGAGCTCCTCAAAATAGCCATCAAGCCACCTTTCTTCAGTCCATTGTTTTGACTGTTCCTTCGTCTCAGGTGTGAAGTGATGGACCCATGGTTTCAACCATGGTTATGAATCGGCTTTATTCTTGAGAAACTTCGCCAAACACTCGATTGAAACATCCTCACGACGCTGTTTTTGTTCCAATCGCGGCATCCATCTTGCGCACAGCTTTCTCATGTCCAAATTTTCAGTCAATATGCGATGTGCAGCACTTTTTGAAATACCTACCATGTCTGCTAACTCGCGCACTTTCAGTCGACGGTCATCCAATACCATTTTGTGGATTTTCTTCACCATTTCTGGCGTGGTCACCTCATTTGGTCGACCACTGCGATGTTCGTCTTGGCAGCTCGTACGGCAGCTCGTTTAAACTCTATCACCCAATATTTTACTGTTGTAAACGAAGGAGCAGACTCCCCCAGAGTAGAATCTAGCTCCGCTTTCATATTGGTTGGACTGAGGCCTTTCAAATCAAAGTATTGTATCACATAGCGATGACCAATTTTTTCCCCATGTTTACAAATTCACTGAGAGCTATTCACTACTGATGGCTGCCAAACAAATACTAAACAACGTAGCGTCGTCAAACTTCAAACTTAAGCTTTATAAGCTTGGTACTTTCTACCATAGTCATTCTTTTCAAACAACAACCGCTGTCTATACGTCAGGTACTTCTGGGACTACCCTCGTACATAATACTTTGATATACATTTATATAATATTTTGACATTAATATCAATATTGATATTAAAAAAGATTAAAAAAAGAAAAAAATATATATATATAATATTTACGTAATGTCCAGTTAGCAAAGAGGAACGAGCAGCCGCGCGCGACAAGAAAATCGCTCCTCGCGTATCTCTGATTAAGACCGCGAGCTGGCTGCTCATCTGTGAGCGGTCAGCGATGATTGCATCGCGACGCTCTCTTCTTCTTCTTTTCTTCCCTCAACACACACTCGCGCGCACGTACAATTTACCGACCGGCGCGGCGTGAGTCGCGACAGGATCTTCGAATCGCGCCGGGCGGGAAAATCCGTCGCCGAATGGACTCGCTAAATCGCGGCCTGTCGGCGGTATTTCACCGCTCCAATTACGGCTCGCCGCAATGTAATGAGGCACTGGCCGGCAATTTGTTGGTGCGATTCCGCGAGATCCCGTGTAATTTATCGCGTCGCCCGGCCTGATCCGCGGGTTTCGCGGATCGTAAGATACGACGCGCGCGCGGCAAAGGGCGGAATTTTAAGTGTTTTCCATTGCGCCGCGCATTGTTGAGCGGCGGCGGCGGGGGGGGGCCGTACCTTGCGAAATTAACGGCGCTCATTTATTATTCCGCGCGTGACGCGGGCCATAATTTGTATGATAATAATATGACATATTAATAAATCATTTGCGCCGTAATGTTTCCGCGCCGCTCTTTCCGAGCGGTCGTGTTTCACTCTCCGTGTGTGCGCACGCCGCTCCAAACAAATAAATATTAATAGTCCTTTGCCTAGCGACGTGATGATTAAGCGAGATAAGGCTGCCCCTACATATCCTCTCGTTTATCGAGCGTAAAGCGGATCATTTCGCAAGCCTGTGAAATTACAAGCCGGGAACAGCCGAAAGCGATTGACACGAGTCGTTTGAGCGCGAGAGGAGAGCGAGGCGCAAGGATCTGCTCCGTTAATATAAAATTCACTGCCGCGCGGCGCGTCTCGGCTCTTTCGACTCGAGGATCGAGCGAGTAACGATGTCAATTAATTAGCCGCTAATATAGCCCATACATTCACTTTCGGCTTTATTTGCGACATTTATTATGCGAGCGCGCGCGCGCTCCGCATTGAGCCCAGCGAGGAAACGTTGCACGATGACGCGGCAATCGGTCTTCCTTAAACGCGAGCGTACGTTACTTTCTAACGACGAACCGCGCGAGCGCCGCTTTCTGCATAATAGAACAATCAAGCCCGCGTGACGAAAGACACGCGCGCACCGCGTGTCTCGCGCGTAATGTTCTTGAGTAATAATCGAGCAGCCTGCTCTCGACCGGCAGGCTTGCGACAATGTCTCTCGCCCGTCCGACGCGTCCGAAAAATGCACGCCGCTTCGCAAGTCGCGTTATTCCACTCTACCTGAGAAAACGGTATCACTCGGGTAAACGAATGTCGAATGCAGACGAGGGTCTTTTTTCTCGTTCGGACGAGTCGCGATACGAGCGTGAAGAAAGCACGCCAAAGCTTCTGCTCTTTTGTGCGAAGCATTCGCTCGAACAAGTTTATTCTACATCTGTTGTTCCACTGCTTATCTGGAGAGTCCGTTTATTTCACACAACTCTGATACGTTCCCCACCGCGAGTTTGACGCGGGGAATCACTCTTGCTTCGGTGCAATTGCGCCAAAAGGAGTAAATCCGCTCGCGGAAAAATTTTATCGCAGTCACAAGTGACGTTTGTCGCGAATCTACATTTTGAATTTTAACCCTTTAACGCCTACTGGTAACTATAGTTACCAGAAACGCACTTAAGAATCCATAACTTAGTCAAAAGAGGAGATATTTTCGTTTTCTTCGCACCGCTGTAAAGGTGAATTCTTCTTCTAAAAAATGGTACAATGTAGATTGTATGTAGATTCGGTTTCGTCTGTTTTTAGCTC